CAGGCCTATACATTTATCTCTTCGGTTGGGCTAGCCCCATACTACACAGGAACGTCAACCGCGACGTCTCTGGTGCCAACTTTGCAGCTGGCCATAGCAGTAGTCAAAACATGAAGCAAATCAATGTGCATGTGTGTGTCTGTTAGTTAAGTGGTGTGTAACTAGAAACATTCTCACGACCTGTAGTACATGTCGTGACTTAAACATAAGAACATATTATGGCTAAGGCTACAGTTATACACATCATAATAATAATATTAAACATCCTGTCTGCTGACAGTCATCAACTCATCTCTCTAGTTATCCTTGACCAGATGTACCCTGTAGAAACTCATAAGCATGACTAAGCATTTAACAGTCTAACTAGACATCCTATCTCCACTAAACATTTCTAATACATAAAGTATCTATCCAATTTCTATCTGACTAAAAAATACCTAACAAGAGCTTCTAGTGGCCAGTGAATATGTAATAAAAAAAATTTGACTACAGTTTCTGGCATGGGGAAAACATCCAACAGAGGGCGCCATTTGCTTGTTGAAGAAACCATCAGCACTATGGACTCAAGTGCATAGTATATGCAGACGTGAAGTGCCTGAGCTGTCGCAGATATCCAACCAGCTGTACTGAAGTCGATCCTGATGACACAACAGTTATAGAGCCTCTGATCCAGACCCGCTGGGACTGGGCTGCCATCTCTGTGCTGGCTCCTCTCACTGGCCTCTGCTTGGCGCGGGGAGAAAAACATCCTCCCTCTGCACAATTGTGTTGTTATTGACCGGCGGAGGTAAAGAAGTGGGTCGATAAGTGGATCCGATTAATTAGCGTCCCAGATTGGCTACAGCACACCAAATGTCAGAGGATGCTTGGTCTGTAGGACTGCACATCGGGCGTTTCATATAAGTGAGCTGAAGAGCGCCAGGCAGACAGCGTGTCTACAAGTGCAGCCAATTACAAGTGGAAGGTAAGAGAGATCTTATGTATTAAAAAAATCACGGGTATGGATGGCATTGCTTGCATTTAAAGCAGCTGGACATTAAGTCAAGATGTTAATTTAATTGGGCAAAATAGATAGTTTTAGAGCGTTGACATTTAAGTCAGGTATTAACAGTGTGAAACCGCTGCACCATCTCTGCAAAACACACGTACGCATTTCAGCACGGGATGTAATTTTCTAGGACTCTGTTATCGCTGATCACCGTTTATTGGATGAAATGTGAACATACTGTAACTGTTTGTGTGAACGAGCCTGTGACATCCTTAGTATTGTTCATAGACTTCAGATTACTTCTGTCAGTGAAGGATCTAATTCTGGCACAGGGCAGAACGGGTTAGTGCACAGCTGGAATTACAGCAGCTGCAGCTGCTGCAGTGTGGAGCTGCAACAAGTTTATTATGCTGTAAGAAGGGAGAGAGGTGATGAAATAGTGACACCCTCAGGGGGAATAAAAAAAAAGTGACAGCTGCCAGCAAGTACATTAAAGTTCAGACAGCAGAAATAGAGTCGGAGTATGCGTGACAGCTTGTGTTGTGTGTTCCAGGGATCAGTGGACCAGCAAGATGGACCTGGCCAAATCTGCAGTGTCCTTCTATATTCTTCTTTTGAGTCCTGCATGGGCCTTATCCCACCACCCTCATATGGATACCTTCCTCTCTGCCCAGGCAGGTGAGACGTCTAGCTGCGTGTGAGTGACTGACCACACGTTGGGTGTATATGGCAAACTGCAAACTGCTGCTCTTTGTTTTCCTGTCAGCCCTCAGGTTTCTGAGAGAGCCAGTGAGGTTTGACCCCTGTTGTCTCACATCACGCGAGGCAGCCCCGTAGGTCTTCACAAACACACTCATATACACCTGCCTGCACCTCATTAACACACATTTGTATGCCCTACTGTAGGCTACTGATTGAAAACCTATTCTTTTGGATTTTCTTTATGTGTTTGAAGAGTGGTCTTAGCCTGTTAGAACCAAATGTTTTTGGAGAAGAGGAACAGGAAGAACAAAAACCAGAGATACCAGGGTGTTCACCTGGACTCCCAGGACCTCCAGGGCCCCCTGGCCCAGAGGTAAGGCTTTGCTTTCAAATAAAATACAGCACAACCTTGTGCTCACATTATTAGCAGCATTGCTTTCAATCAGATTATATCATGTACATCCATCAGTGTAATCAGCCCACTGTTGCCATTTCAAGACACTAGATGGAAACAACTGTGGAAATAAAACCCAAGCAACCCCTTTAGAATTGATCTTCTTACAAATGTTCCATGCTCAATATGGGATATGTGAGCTGAATATAGATGTGGTGCCATATTTCAGGGTCACACTGGATTACCTGGGATAAGAGGCCCAAAAGGAGAAAAGGTGTGTGTATTTTGTGAAATATAGAAGTGTTTGTGTGTGTGTGTCCTTGTGTTCCTCTTTGTTGTGATGAGCACTCTATCATCTGTTCTTCTCCAGGGAGAAATTGGACGTCCAGGGTCAAAGGTGAGCGTCTCCACTCCTCCTCTATGTGTCATTCACACATCTCTCTCTGGTCCGTCTTGCTTGTCCTTGGAATAATGGGATCTGGATATCTCTCTCTCTGTTCCTCCAATGTCTCCTTGATTTGTGTGATGTGATTTGTCGTGCTATCTTAGTCTCAGTGGCCTCTGTAACCATGTAGCAAAGCTTGATCACATCCCTGGATGTCTCCTTGTCAGCCTGCTGCTCCTCACCTTACTGACCCCCCTCACTTCTTCACTGCTCCTTTTTCATCATCTCTCTTAGCCCCCATACTGGACTCCAGTCCTGCTGATCCAGCTTCTCCAAAACTCTGCTTCTGTACTTTAATCTCCCTAAGTGTTTTTGCTCTTCATGATAAATCACTCCTCACAGCAGAAGTCCACAGTGTCTCTACAGGCTGCTGTTTTAATGACAGGCAGCTGAATGAGAGCATGCTGCTAGCATGGCAGGGTGCCCTAGAATACTCCCCAAGGTGCCTGAGATGTGAGGCTGAGGTGTAATATATTTCGCTCTCCTCCATGATCGATTTAGGCTTTATCCCTGTCCACTGGTTAGCAAATCTCAGCGGCATTGCAGGTTTTGCCCTCTGTCATTCCGCAATAGAAATCATAGGAGGTCAGTTTGATTTGCTCATTTGATTGTGACAAATTTTAAAACTGGATAGTCCCTGTGAAAACCATTTCAGGAGAAACTGAGCCATGAAAAAAACATCTTAACAAGCATAAGTGTGGTAGAATATCAACATTTATATGAACGTACAAAACCAGTCAGAAGGTACGGATTAAAACATTTTGGCAAATACATTTATTTGCTTTCTGGCTGAGAGTTAGATGAGGAGATCAGTACTGGGAGAGGCTGCCAGGTAAAATGTAGGGACTCTAGGAAGTCATTGCTCCTGGCCAAGAAATAGTTCAGCACCTAACCCACTATATTAGTCAGATTTAAAGCTGTAGATGGCTGGATCTTGTTGCCTTTAGGCAAAGCCAGGCTAGCTGCTTCCTTCTGTTTTCAGTCTTTGTGCTAGGGTTAGCTAACCAGCTGATAGCTGTAGCTTCATATCCGTTTCACAGACATGAAAGTGCTACCAGTCGTCCCATCTAACTCGAGAAAATGATTTCCCCAAAGCAGTGAACACATTCTTTAAGTGTTACATCAAAATTGCAAATGAGCTTTAAGAGAACCTGTTACAAACTAAATTTCTATGCCAGAGCTTCAGCAGAATTTCACTAAATTTGCATTGTCAGTATAATTTCTTTCTCACTTCCAAACTACAAATCAGTGTTGTTACTGTGTAACCGCTAAAACAACTAATGTCTCTTATTAGATGGATCAGGGCTTTTGTATTTCTGAATATGACAAGGCAATCTATTTGAGTTTGTCACAAAATCTTTCATGCAACTAACACTCTCAGTTTTACATCACCTTTTCTACAAGTTCCAAAATAAAGGAGCCAACATTTAAACTATGTGCTAGTATGTTTGTGTTTCTCCAGGGTCGGACTGGTGCTCCAGGCCTCCCAGGGAAGCAAGGACTACCAGGAGTGCCTGGTCCTCAGGGACCCAAGGTAATTATCTTACTAGGTGCTAACAGATTTTTGTGCAATATGGCTCCTTACTGGTGTGATGATGTACATCAAGCATCTTGATATTCTTCAGATATGTATGTGGCATGTCGCAAATAAAGTACAGTATATAAGACAAACAGTAATATAGATTTCTTTTAAATTAGGGTGAGAAAGGGGATACAGGACTCATGGGGTTACCAGGACTGAAAGGACCACCTGGGACGAAGGTTAGTCACATCTTTACAGCATCATACACACAATAATATACATTCTGGATTTATGTTACATTCCTCATCTGCCTTTTCAGGGATTACCTGGTTACAAAGGACAGAGAGTAAGTTCACAATCACATGTTCCATAATTGTTAGTAACTACATTTTTATATTCTACATTTCACCCTTCTGTTCCTTTATCTTTATCCCTTTTATTAAAGGGGGCTCGTGGTGACCCTGGGTTGGCAGGAGCAAAAGGCGATAAGGTTTGAGAGAATGTGGCTTTTATTGCAGGTCCTGTGTTGTGTAACTACATTCAGTCCATTTATGCCTTGCTTTAAAAAGAGCACCTTAACTCGTGCTGCATTATAATCAAGAGGTCAGAGATTTTTATTGTCAATTCACTATATGTGCAGGACATACAGAAAAATCTAAATACTGTTTCTCTCTCACCTAAGGTTGAATGCCCATACTATTTCAGAAACTAAAATAGAACAAAAGTAGAATAAACAAAGAATAAACAGAATATGAAAACTGAATTCAAGTAGTAATAAGAATAAACTAGATCGTACAACCTAATAGGCTACGATGAAACTCAAAGCCATGTGCAAACAGTAACAGTACAACAAGAAGATTGTCAGGTGGTCAGCATCACCAGGGGTGTTGGTGATGGGATGCATAATAGCTTATGAAATGTACATGGACAGCAGTGCAAATGACCAACAGCAGCAGATATGATGGTAAAAAGAACAGTCAGCAGCACATTCACATCCATCCATCCATCCATTTTCCTCCGCTTATCCAGGACC